GTTAATTACAGTGCAATGGCTCCATACGTTAAATAGCCAGACTGTGAACCAAAAGGTCTGTATGTAGTGCAAGCCTGACAGCCACTCCGTGGGAGGAAGATGAAGCTTTCTACTCCCCAAAAGGCTCAGAAACCCTATACAAGGTCACTGTGAGCCAGAACTGACTCGACAGCACATAACAGCCTCGGAAACCTACAGGGCAATTCTATTCTGTCCTATAGGGTCACTCTGAGTCGGAATTAACACAATGGTAATGGGTTCAGTGGTTTTGGAATATTCCATTATATGAAATTTAGTTTACCAGTCCTCTATTATCAACCATGAAGTTATTCCTATTATTTCCTAGTCAAAAAATCACAGTGACAAATCTTTATACATATATCTTTTTTCTGACCTTTTAAAAACTTGACCAATACCAAAGATTAGTCTCTACAGAAGGACTACATTTGAATACATTGATTCTTCTCTCTTCCTTTTCCATTTTCCAACTTCTGCATGCATATGAGGAGAATGAATAGATATAGCTTGGGTCACACATACCTTAGTTATATCAAAGTGATATCTTTGCTTTTAAAACTTTAAAGTGGTGTTATGTAGATTTGCCCAATACAATACTTTGATTTCTTGATTTCTGCTTCTATGAGCATGGATTTTTGATCCAAGTAGAACAATAGCATTGACACCTACAAGACCCTGCATGATCTCTCTCTCCCTCATCTTAAATAAATTGTTTCCACTCTCACTCAACACACTGTCCTTCTTTCTGGTCTTCAAATATGTCAAACTGTTTCCCATCATCAGTTCTGTGCATTTATTCTTCCCTTCCCCTCAACAATCTGACTTTTAGCATGTTGTTGTTGTCAGGTGCCATCAAGTCGGAACCGACTCATAGCGACCCCATGCACAGCAGAACGAAACAATGTCTGATCCTGGGCTAACCTCACTAACACTGTCACACTTGAGTCCATCAATGATGCCACCTGGCCAATCCATCTCATTAGGGGTCTTCCTCTTTTTCTCTGACCCTCCACCTTACCCATCATGATATCCTTCTCCAGCCGACTGTTCCCTCCGGACAGTATGTCCAAAGGATGAGAGATGAAGCTTAGCCATCTTGGCCTCCAAGGAGCACTCTGGCTGCACTTCTTCCAAAACAGATCTATTGGTTCTTTTGGCAGTCCATGGCACTTTCAGTATTCTCCTCCAACACCACAACTCATAGGCATCAATTCTTGTACGATCCTCCTTATTCACTGTCCAGCTTTCGCATCCATATGAGGCTATTGAAAACACAATGGCCTGGGTCAGGCGCACCCTAGTCCTCAAGCTGACATCTCTGCTCTTCAATACTTTAAAAAGTTCCTGTGCAGCAGATTTGGCCAATGCAATACGTCATCTGATCTCTTGACTGCTGCTTCCGCGAATGTTGATAGTTGATCCAAGAAGAATGAAGTCCTTGACAACTTCAATCTTTTCTCCATTGATAAGAATGTTGTTTATTGGTCCTGTGGTGAGGATTTTTGTTTTCTTGACATTGAGATGTAATCCATATCGAAGGCTGTGCTCTTTAATCTTCATAAGTAAATGTTTCAAGTCCTCTTCACTTTCAGCAAGCAAGGTTGTATCATCTGCATATCACAGGTTGTTCCCTATCCACTGCAAAGTACCTTCGAAAGTCCTACCATGGCCTAATGTAGTCTACTTCCAATACTTCCTCACATTACTTCACCATACCTGAAACTATCATTTTCTTTCATATGTAGTCTACTTCCAATACTTCCTCACATTACTTCACCATACCTGAAACTATCATTTTCTTTCATATCTCTTTTAATAGATTTAAAGTTTCTTTTTTTAATTATCTAGCCCAACATCTGAAATATTCCTTGCCAAATTGTTGTTAAGTGCTACTAAGTTGGTTCCGACTCATAGCGACCCTGAACAGAGTTTCCAAGGAGCAGCTGGTAGGTTTGAACCACCCTCTTGAGGTTCAAATTGACCTTGTTGTCCAGTGTTTATCCTAATGCCACACCAATACTGTGGAATGCGTTGGAATGCAAGGTTGGTTTGAACTGCAAGGTCAGCAGTGCAAGTTCACCAGCTGCTCTTTGGAAACCCTATACAAGGTTGCTATTACTCGATGGCACTTGATCTATCATAACTCTCTAACACCTATAATTTCTGTACAAGTCCCTTAATTCCATTAAGTGCAAAGTATTTTTTTATAACATATCATCATTTTTCATTAATATTGATAGGTCACATTATATGCTTTGAATAAAAATTACCAGAGTTCCTTTATTTTTTTGGATTTAGAAGGCAGGTGGTTAGATTTAAGTTCTCCTCTTTTGGTTCGTATTACTTCACAAGTATTTAGATCAGTGACCCAAGGAGATCAAGGAGCCTGAACATTGTGAGCTGTCTTCTTAGTATAAACACAGACTTACCAGGAGCACGCACGTTAATAGTCTCTTAGGGAATCAACTCAGTAGCATATCGCTACATTCCTTTGCTTCTCAGCTACCTTCACATCCCAGTAACAGTTTTAGTTCCTCCTTGTAGCTTCAGCTGATACTTCAGATTGCAGGGGGAGGTACCGCCAAGCTGGCTGTGAGGCCAAGCGCAAGTGAGAAGGATCCTGGCATCCAGAGCAGAGTCGGCCACTGGTTCATAAAGCCTCTATGAATGGTAGGCGTCTTCTTTTGCCACTAAATTGCTCTAACAGACTGCAGCAGTCTATTACTCTACTTTGTCCCTCCACTTGCCATGTTTAAAGAGACCATTCCCAACCAACAAGACACTCCCTTTTTCTGAGAGCTTCTAATGCCTTCTCAATCCAGAAACCTCAAGAAAGTCTTCTGTGAAGTTGACAATCTAGTACAGTCAACAGAATACTAATCCTGTCGATAATCGCTGGATGAGTCATCTTCTCAGTGCATAGAGCCAGGTTTCTGATGATGGGAATCACAACTCCTTAGTGGCAGAAATCTTACTAGACATGTAAACAAAGCTAGGTAGTTACCATCCATTGGGAAGGTGGCTCCATTCTGATCATTGCTAGGGTAGGTTTTCTGTTGTAACCACTCATTTCCAAACCTCAGCAGCTTAACACAGGAAAGGTTTATTTCTTTCCCATGTCACAGTCCAATGTAGATGGTAAAAAGAAGCAGATCTCGGCTTCACTCAGTCCTCTAGGGAACTCAAGCCTCTTCCCTCTAAGCAAGGGCTCTTAACCTGAGGTCCACACAAAGCTGTTACTTTCGATAGGGGAAATATTGTCATTAGTATTTCCTTCAATTATGATTGAGAGTATACAAACAACCTGGTGTGGTGCTGCAGGATAATGCACAGGACTGCAAGATCAGTTTGAACTGCAAGGTTGGTGGTTCAAACTCACCAGTTGCTCCTCAAAATTCCTATACAGGGACACTAACTTGTAATCTACTAGGCGGCACTTAACACCAGTAAAAAATAGATCATCTTTATCTCATACTATAATTGTAACAACTGTCATGAAATATGACAATGTATTACTTTGCAATTATAGTATTTAATATGTTAATAAAAAGTACATATATTATTATAGCAGTGTCCTGGTGTTGCGCTGTGGGTTAATGCACTGGACTGCAATGTGGGTTTGAAATCACAACCAAGCAGTTCAAGCTCACCAGCTGCTCCTCGGAAACCCTATACAAGGTCGCTATGGGTCACAACCAACTCGACGGCACTTAACAACAATAATTATTATAGCACAAAACATTTTTAGTATTTTGATAACTATATTTTGATACACTTAACTTTTTTTGCAATCCTTTTTATTTCATATATTTAAAAATATTATTCTGATAAGAGGTGCATACGTTTCACCAAACTGGGGAGAAGGTCCATGGCAAACAAAACAATTCCTGAAATAGTGGTACTGTCCACCTCACACCCCACCCCAAGACCTTCAGGATCTTCTGCATCTAGTCAGTAGAACAAGTTGAGGGGCAGTGACAGAGAGCAGTGGAGAAGTATTTTAGGGACAAGACTTAACGAGGAATTCTATTACCCTGCCCACATTCTACTGCCCTAGCTCAGTCACAGGGCTCCGCTTGCCTGCAAAAGATCTGGGAAATGTGGTCCAATTGTGTGCACAAAAGGAGAAAGATGTAGAGTTTGATGAACACATGCAGCCTCTGTCACCATGCCGGAGGAAACAACCAGCAAAAAGACGGTGTCCCTATGACAAAGGCGTTGCCTGGAAAACTCATTCCCCTGTAAAACTCAACTCCAGGAAGCACAGTCACCATCAAGCCATGAGAGCCACCACTGACTAAATGCTTGCTGATGTCTGTGTTCTGCTAAATGGTTCACTGCCTTGACTTCATTCAATCCTTTTAATACCCCTATGAGACAGGTACTCTTATTTTTTTATTTTATAGATGAGGGACTATTCCCCCAAGAAAGTAAGCCCAAAACTAATGCTCTCAGTCCCTGTTCTGGATGGTATTAGAAAATACCCAGACACTTATTAAAGAAGACTGAATTAGGTTTTATGGATATGAATCCACACTCCCTGGATTCATATCGTAGCTTTGCCACTAATTGGTTCTTTGGCTGGGTGTGAATTACAGAAGTGCTCTATGCATCTGCAAAATGGGGATAACCATAGGATCTAAATTTTAGGATTAAATAAGATAAGCACTCAAGACAGCACCCAAAATATATAGTAAGTTCTCAGTGAATGGTAGCCACCATTATTCAAGGCTAGATCATCCTGTGGCCGCCTCATTAAGCATGAACTGAAACATTTCACCAGAGCGCAGTCTCATGTGGACAAATGTCTGAAGTTACCAACATACTTACCAGCTGGGGGATTTCCTTAAGTAGTGGTCAAGTTACAGTAAAAAAGGATATAAAGCTGTTAATTTTCTAATAAAAAATATATGTGTATATATTTTAGAAGAAAGAAACAATAAGGATTGGTTTTCATTTTAATGTAACTTTCTCCTTTGTAGAACTCCATGAAAGTGATGTTCAAATGCCTCTGGAAAAACTGTGGGAAGGTACTGAGCACAGCTGCAGGCATCCAGAAACACATCCGGACCATTCATCTTGGGTATGACAATCCTCACGCCCCAGCGTCTTCTGATGTAGTATCCACCCGTTCAGTCTAACGCCATCTGCACCCACAATTACACATCACATTATGCCTTTAAAGTTCTTAGTAAGGAAAAAGACACTGGTCTTCAGAATCACTACATAGGGATGGATCCTGCAGAGAATATAATATAGGCCAATATGTATGGTATAGTAGAAGGAATTTTCTATTGTAAAGTCTCACTAATATACTTCCTAAGTGATGGCAGACAAGTTGCTGCTCTCCGCCTTAGTTTTCTCTTTTAAAAAAATGAGACTAGTAATAATATAGACCCTGCAGTGGTACTTAGGAGTGGCCAAAAAATAATATAAGAAAGACTTATGTATTCTAAAATGCTAAGATAGGAGTTTCTAACTTGGGATCCATGGTTGGACTTCACGGTGTCCTTGAGTCCCCTGAAAATGGCATGTGCATTTCCCCGCCAACATTCATAACTTTTGCATGTCAAAAGCACTAAAAACTTATAAAAGGGTTAAAGATTATTGCATCCTTCAATGCTGCTGTTGGTGTTCTCAATATGCCTGATAATTTGTCTCAGTCATTTTGTTCATCAAATAGGCCCTGTATGCGTACAGTCTACACTTTTCCTTGTATTATGTAGCAATTTATCCCTCAACAGAAATAGGGGGAATTGGAGACCTTTATAGACATGCTTTCTATGGGAGCCACACCAGGGGCAGTGGTGGTCCAGCAGTCTTGTCCTTTAGTCTCTGGACCTTGTCTGTCCTGGAATTTTCAGGAAGTTGTAAATCTTAGTGCGCATAGGGCAAATGCAAATACATGACAGAATCCTCAATGCTTGGCTATGGAGTTGCCTTTCAACAAGGTAAGTGTTGAGAAATAAAAGCAATCCGGGCAGCAACCACTTTTAAGAAGTTCACCTCATGGCACTGTGCTTTCACAACAGAACTGGATTAGGACTTGTTTTTGCTAACCAGAGAAATATGAAGAGGATTTTGCAATTTACTTTTGTAAATAAAAGGTGAAAAGTGTTCAGCATTTGTTTTGCAACGATCCATTAGAAAGACAGTATTCATCCCCGGACTCCTTCCCGTGGAATAATCTGACTGTGCTTCTTCCAAGACAGATTTGCTTATCCTTCTGGCTGTCCGTGGTATAGTCAGTATTCTTCACCAACACCATAATTCAAAGGCATCAGTTCTTCTTTGGTTTTTCTTAATGCATGCAAAAGTTGGATAATGAATATCAGGTGCACCTTAGTCCTCAAGGTAACATCTTTGCTTTTCAACACTTTGAAGAGATCTTTTGCAACAGATTTGCCCAATCTGCATCCCTAAACAACAAACAAAAACCACTGCCATCCAGTCCATTTCAAACTCATAGTGACCCTATAAAGGATTTCTGAGGTTACAAATCTTTATGGAAGTAAAAAGCCTCATCTTTCTCCTACAAGAGTGGCTGATGAGTTTGAACCGCTAACCTTACAGTTAGCAGGCTAGTGTTTATCCTGTATCACCATTGAGTTCCCTGTTATTCTTGTTGTTAAGTGCCTTCGAGTCAATTCCGACCCACAGTGACCCTGTATAGGGTTTCCGAGAAGCAGCTGGTGAGCTTGAACCGCCCACCTTGCAGTTCAAACGGCTTTGCAGTCTGGCGCATTAACCCGCAGCACCACACCAGGACTCCTTTAGTTCCCTGTTGTTGTTGTTGTTAAGTGCCGTCGAGTCGGGTCCGACCCAGAGCAACCCTGTACAGGGTTTCCGAGGGTGTAAATCCTTACGGGAGTAGAAAGCCTCATCTTTCTCCCGCGGAGCGGCTGGTAGTTTCGAACTGCTGACCTTAAGGTTCGCAGCCAGATTCGTAACCACTACGCTACTTTAGCTCCTTAGCAGCCCCTTTTTACTCATGTGCTCTTAAAACTTATCAAGGAGCATGAGAATTCACAACCCTGCCAGCCATTCCCAGGGTTAGACCTGGGTAAGCAGGATCTCAAGGTCTATCTACATACACGAAGCCCATGGACTGAGAGAGAAAATAGACAAACAGCCTTTGCCTTAGTGCTTGGGCTGGATGAAAAGACAATGGGACATCTTTAATGAGTATGGCTTATGTGTGAGTGTGGGGAGGTAGCATACCAAAGCCCAAAGAAAATATTTCTTGCATCAGATTTAGCAGCAGTACACACCATGTCTATCTAAAAGTGCACTGTTTATTGCTCACTGTTCTTGTACACCAGGGGGGCTGGTCCTGATTTATCCCCAACTAGGACCGACAATTCCCCCCAGGGCTGTGTATCTATTAGTAGCACTCCAAAGCCAGTTGCAACTTGGCCCAACTTTTACTGGAAAGGAAGTGGGGACAGGAATAGAATAGACACACATTCTTCGTCCCACTCTCTGGGGTCTTTAATGGTATGCTTGTCTGAATGCCAAGCCAGCCAGACCTGATCCAGGACAAAGACACCTCCCCAGATGCCTCCTGCTGAGAGCCCAGGGAAAACAACTAAGTTTGGAGAAGTCACTGATTTGACCAAACAGAAAGGGCTTAGTGAGGAGGGAGTTTTATTATAGGCATTTTTTGGAATTATAAGTGGGGGGGGAAATTGCTTGCTTTTTACCAAGTCAGTGATCTGCAGCTGCTAGATGTGTCCATGAGAAAAGGAAGTGTGTGTGTCAGGGGGGGAGGTGTGCCTAAAGCCATGTTACTTCATCTACATCACCTCTCCAGAAGGTGACAAATCTACTCAACATGTTCTGAGTTGCCTTCATTGTACTCAAAATGTTTTGTGGGTTGTTTGGCCTCCATATTCCAGATCGAAAACTACAACATCCCATGCCTTGAGCGTAAGAACTTTGAAAGCACCTAAACCATTTTACTGGCAATAGTAAAATCTTAAAGAATTGAGGGGCTCCAATGTAGACTAATGGACTTCTGATGGGGCTCTGTAGAATCAGCACTGGACTTCTAACCACACGTCAGCAGTTCAAACCCACCAGCTGCTCCTCAGAAACCCTATGAGCCAGTACCGACTCACTGGCACATAGCCAACAACAACAACAACAATGTAGACTTCGGAATCCTGTTGTAGTGCTGTAGGGATAAGCACTGGACTGCAAGGTTAGTTTGAACCACAAGGTCCATGATTCAAAAACCCACCAGCCACTCCTCAGAAACCCTACAGAGGGTTACTATAAGTCGGAACTGACTCAACACTTAAAAACAACAGTGTAGACTTTATGTTTATGTAATAAGTAATACAGTGCCTAAAATGCACCAGGTATCTTTCTAAGCACTTTGTTGTTGTTATGTACCATGGAGTCGGTTCAGACTCATAGGGACCCTACACAGGGTTTCCGAGGCTGTAAATCTTTATGGGAGCAAACTGCCTCATCTTTCTACTGCGGAGCAGCTGGTAGTTTCAAACTGCTGACCTTGTGGCTCGCGGCCCGATTAGTAATCACTACACTACCAGAGCTCCTTCTTAGCACTTTATACATGTTAATTTACTTAATCCTCATAATAAAGTAATATACTTATCCCTACAGGCTGCAAACCACAAGGTCAGCAGTTCGAAACTACCAGACGCTCCGCGGGAGAAAGATGAGGCTTTCTGCTCCTGTAAAGATTTACAGCCTCAGAAACCCTGTACAGGGTCGCTATGGGTCGGAACCAACTCGGCGGCACTTAACAACAACAACAACATTGTATAAATGAAGAAACTCACGCACAGAAAATAAATATAAGTAATAGCATAGTGGTTACGAATCGGACTGCTAACCTCAGGGTCGGCAATTCGAAAGTACCAGCTGGTCCACAGGAGAAAGATGAGGCTTTCTGCTCCTGTAAAGATTTACAGCCTCGGAAACCCTGTACAGGGTCGCTATGGGTCGGAACTGACTCCAGGGCACATAACAACAACAAAATCACATAACCACACCATTAAATAGTGGCCTAGTCAAGACTTGAACCCAGAAAGTCTGAATTCAGATATAATACACAAGTGTTGGACTAATTACTCCATCTTCATTTGTTAGTTCAGTAAGCATTTAATAAACACTAAGTCTATGTCAAATGCACTGATACCATTGAGAATATGAAGATGTATGAGACATAGCCCTAGGGAATCACAGTCTTAGTGAAGTGATAAAAATGTTTCAAAAAAAAAAAAATTGCAGAAATATGGCAGGTATTTAAATGAAGGATGAATACACACAGAGGACTTAACAGTTAGGTCCAACAGCCAGAGTAAGCATTTAGAACATTGTTAGATCATTCAAAACCCCCCAGTAACTTCTCTGACATTCAGAATAAATATCATGTAAAGCCCTACATGAACTTGCCTCACCCTCCATTCCCACCTCTCCCCATTTTACTTTCTCCCCCATATCATCAGCTCCAGCCACTGGCTCTCAACCCTTTGCATTGAACACCAAGCCCGCTACCTGGGACCTTTGCATTGCACGTCTTCCCACAGGTTCCTGCCAGCTCTCTCCCTCTGTTCATTCAGGTCTCTTCTCAAGCCTCACCTCACTCCTCCATGAGCTAGCTTTGACTCCTCTATTGAGAATTAACACACACCTTTGATCATTAACGCTGCTCACACATACTCCTAGGCTTACAATGCTTGTTGTTTTTTCTTTATGGAACTTATCACTACATGCTATATGAACTATTTTCTAAAGAATCATAAAGGGTTTCCTGTCTATCTCCATCACTAAACTCTTAAGTTTTAGCAGTAAAGAAACTCTATGGTTTTTTGGGTTTTTTTCCCCACTGTAAAATTAAGAGACTCTAAAACCATGTGTGGAGATAGTAGATCCTCAATACATGTGGGATGATTGATTGACTGGATGAAATAATGAGTAAATTGCTTAAAGATGTCAAGGAATGTTTCCCTGGAAGTTGACTGTTGAGTTGAGTGTTACAAGACCAGTAAGCATTTTCCAATAGACAGATGAGAGGAAAAGCATTTCAGACAGAACAGCATGTGAAGGAGATTTGAGGCAAGAAGACGGCAGCAGTATAATTGCTTTGCTCTCTTTTTTACATTAGGCGTGTTGGGGACTCTGACTACAGCGATGGAGAGGAGGACTTTTACTACACAGAAATCAAGCTCAACACCGACTCGGTGGCAGATGGACTGGGCAGCCCAGCCCCAGTGTCTCCCTCCCAGTCCTTGGCTTCGCCTTCTACTTTCTCCACCTCTGATTCAAGCCGAACGGAAACTTGTGCCAAAACTGAGACTAAACTGATGACACCCTTGAGCCGTTCTGCTCCTACCACCCTCTACCTCGTGCACACCGACCATGCTTACCAGGTGATTAATCACCTTGTCCCCTATACAAAAGCAGTAACTTTATGTGATCTGGGAGATGAAAGGGTAACTCGGTGGAAAATCAGCATCATACACTGCAGCCAGCCAGCAGCTGAGTCCATTCTTCTCTTCCACTTAGTCCAAGATCTCACACAGATGGGACCCCATAGGTAGTCCCAGACTCTGCAATGCTAACTGAAGGTCTGATCCCTTAAAGGTGGCTTTTAGGATTAAAGTCCTTGTTTCGTGCCATGACAGAGTAGAACTGCCTCATAGGACTGTAATCTTTACAAAAGCATGTCTTCTCTTCCACTGAGAGGATAATAGATTCGAACCACAGACCTTGTGGTTAGCAGCCAAGCATATGTTAGAAATGTCAATTATCAGGCCCCACCCAGATCTTCTAGATGGAAGTTTGGTGTGATAGGTCCCAACACTGGGCTGTAGCAGACCCTCCATGATTCAGATGCCTTCAGATATGAGAACTGCTGATTAGATATTACATAGGAATCCTGCAAACATAGGGTATAAAGCTCCTTTTCCCTGGCAATTATAAATTCTCTTAAAAATATGAATTTGTTGGATACACTTTCAACACTTTTAAGAAAACCTTTATCATCATTTATAACCACCTTTTAAAGTCTCTTTTACATACATGTAATTGTGTTCCTCTATCCTTGTTTTCTAAAAACTTGCCATGTAACTGAATAGTATTAAATACTATTAAACTGAAATACCATCATTATCTTAGTCATTCTCCTACTGTTGGATATCTCGTCTATTTAGTTTATCAGATATTTTCAATATCATTAATAATTACTAGGACCAACTCTTGGCCTCTAATTATTTTTTTCCCCTTTAAATTCCCAAAAGATATTATATGAAAATTTTATGACTTTTGGTACAAATTGCCAAAACTCTTTCCAGTGCTGTCAATTACACAGCCCTGACATTAGCCAGTGTATTTATTAATTAGAAAAACTAAACTTGTAGCAGAAGCAGTCACTAGTTTGTTGTTGTTGTTGTTGTTGTCAGGTGCCATCGAGTCGGAACCGACTCATAGCGACCCCATGCACAGCAGAACGAAACAATGTCCGATCTTGGGCCAACCTCACTAC